GACAAAGAAAAGGACAAGCAGCAGCCTGCGGCTCAGCCCTGCCCTGGAGCAGCGGCTCTGCGCACTCAGCCAAGGAGCCGCAGCCAGGGGTCTCCATGCAGCGAGTCTGCCTGGCCTCAGTCCTCTCGGAGGAGGGCACGGGTGAGTCTTGAGCAGCACAAAATCCTCCCCGTTGTCTGCTCCTTCCCACCCGCCACTCTCAGGGACAGGCTCAGAGCTCCCCCCAGGGAGGCAGAGGAGGCAATGCAGAGCTGGAGCCAGCAGCAGGTGTCACAGCGAGACCTGGGACCTCCTTGCTCCTGCCGCATTATTCCCTCTCTGGGCAGTTATGGAACGGACACCCCCTCAGAAGCCAGCAGGCCACAGGCAGAAGCACTTTGCTCATGGGTTTTATTGGCCAGAGAGGCAGTGTCCCTCCACGGGACAGGCAAACCACCAGCATCATTCCCAGCTCCACCACTAAGGGACTGGTTTGGGAGGAGGGAAAGGTCTTTTGTGCTGATAACAGCACTCTGGAGGAAGACACAACCTGGGATGTTAAAAAAGACAGTGGGAACAGTATCGCCTGCATGTGGACGCAGCAGGATTAGAGCTGGGGCTACCTCTACTCCAGCAGGCAAAACTAGCCCAAAGGCAGGCCCTTGACAAGGCTCTGGAGAAGGTGCCTTGGCAAGGAAATGAGAGGGGTCACAAAAGGCGTGAGACAGGTCTCAGCCTAGTGACTCCTCTCCCTGGCACCTCCGAGCAAAGCCACAGGCACCTTGTCACGATGCCTCCTCGGGCCTCTGCTTGTAGTGCACCTCGGGGAGGCTCCTGAGGCGCTCAGCAGCCTGCGGGGCAGAGCACAAGGGTCAGAGCACAGACAGATCCCAGGGATTTGCACAGCCCCTGGGAACGTGGGGCTCCTCCATCCCCTGCGCTCACCTGCTCCGGGGTGAGATCCCTCTGCGCCTGGGCCAGCATCTCGTAGCCGACCATGAACTTGCGGACGGTGGCAGAGCGGAGCAGCGGCGGGTAGTAGTGGGCA